TGATTAAGACCCTGTTTTTTTTAAATTAAATAAACAATCGAACTTTTACTAGTTGGTTAATGTAACTTTTTTTTAAGAATGTAGGTAATTAACTTTTAAAAGTGTGAATGGTTTGTTTATTTAAAAGTGTTTAAGGACTTGGGCATTATTTGTCAAAAATAAGCTAGTTTATTTTCTAGGTACATGTTTTGAAGTACATGAGCTAGTTTATTGAAACGTTACTTGGAGTAGAATTTTGATAGCTTATTGTCGCTTTTTCATTTATAACACTCACTAATATTAATTATTAGTTATTTAAACATTATTAATATTTATTAATTATATATCAATATTATTTAATAATTATTGTATTAGTCATATCAATTATTTTAATTTAATTATTAGATTATATTGTTTGAAAAATTATTAATTAATTAGGATATATGAGGTAGACATTTTTATTTTTATTCATAATATATATATAACGGTATTGAATATCATAAATAATAGATTTTTTTAAAATTTGTTTATCAAATTTAAATATTATAATATATATTAACAATTTGTAATTGTTTTAATCAATATATTATATTTTTAATTTTTTTACCATATTATTTGTATTAGTTAATATATTATATTATTAGAGATTTATTTCAACTATTTTTTGAAATATTATACTTGATTAAATTTTCAAGATTATTATCAACTAGTTTTGATCATTTTACATTCTTATCAGCTAGTTTTGTCAAATATGATTTGTTCATCAACTAATTTATTAAACATAATCTTAATCAATCAAAATGAGAAAATTTAATAACTTCTTCATTTAAAAAAGTTTAATAATTTTTTATTTAAAAAAAATATCAAAACTTAATTATTTAAAATAAATAAATTTAATAGTTTTTCATTTAAAAAACAATTTAAGAATTAAATCATCTATATCTATATCTATATTTATACTACCTTATAAACCAGATTTGTCAAAAGTCTTAAAAATAATTTCTAATGCACAAAGTACTATATATTTATGCACAAAGTCTTAAAAGTCTTAAAAACAATTCATAATGCATTAAGTACTACTACTTTATGCATTCAGTCTTAAAATCTTTTAATCTACAATTAAAATAACATATATTACAAGTTACCAATGCACATTATTACTTTTTCTTTTCATGTTTCCAATATACTTTTGACACATTTCACTCATGCATTCACCTTCTCATACCTCTATGTCTTTTTCTCATCTCCCAATGTGAGATTCAAAATTAAATTCACCATGAGTTATTAAAAGTTCTCTCATTCAATTGCTCTAGAACTTTCAGTCTCGCTCTCGATCTCTTGATTCTTTGTTCTTAATGTAAATCGAATACATTTGTGGAATCGTTTAAATATGTTGGCTTTTAAACTGTCATACAATTTTTTTTATCGGTAGACTGTAATTGGAACCATAACTTTTATTTATTCAAATTGTATTAATATGTAAAGATCAAATGTAACTTATATTATTGTTAAATATTCTCTAATAAAAACAGTGAAATTTCAAAATCGTTAAAATTCACGACTTTCGACATATTACATGGGTACACAACTACTTTAAAATAAAAGAGTACTGGTTTTTTTTAGCTTTTCTTATAAATAAATAAAAACAATTGATTTTGTTTACAACTTAAAACGTGCCGCGTGATACGGAGTAGCCGTAAGAAAAAAGTCGGTCGACAAGGACACTGACACGTGTCAACAAACTACTTGATCAACGAAACTAACCGTTAAGAGTCGGCTGACCGTTCACCGGCTTCACCCGTTCTGACCGTTCACATTTAAAAAAAGAAAAATACACGTTAGGTGACCGATCTGCAGCGCAAACAAAGCTGTCACTTTAACGCCTCCCTCCTCCTCCACTCCCAAATCCCCCCCCCCCCCTTTTTCACACTCGTATAAATACCACCACTTCCGCCATGGCTTCTCCATCAAACAAACCCTAATTTCCACCTTTCTTCTTTGCTTTCTGCCGTTTTCGATTTCGATTTTGTTTATTCGAAGAAAAATGGCGCAACTTAGCATTGTGAAGAAGGCATCAGTTGTTGCTTTGGTGGCGCTTTCCGCCGCTGCAACTGTTTCTGCGCAGGAGTTGGCGATGGCTCCGGCACCGTCTCCTGATGCTGGAGCAGCATTCTCGGTTCCAGCTACAGGTTTTATGATCGGAACCTCTCTGCTTCTCTCTTTCGTCGCTTTTCTCAGGAACTGATCGATGGCTTCTATGTTTAATTTTTTATATACATACAGATTCATCGTGATTATCCAATATTTGTATTGGATTGATTCTTTTGGCATCTCGTGTTATTGTATGAATCGAGGCTATATTCTATAAGAACATTGATGATTGTTTCTGAGTGATTTGAATTGTTTAAAATTGCTATTCGATTGTTTTATGACTTATTATACTGTGTGATCCTGGTGTGAAAAAAAGGTGAGATTGACCATTTCTCTCATCAATTTGTTAATTAAGGCGCTGTTTACCAAATGTTTACTCGCATAATCACTTATCAAGTTATATTACCTTACTGGAACCAAAAATCTTATCCGGTAAGAGTAAGACAACGATCGAGAGTCTTGTCCGCTAAGTGAGAGTAATAATTCTTACAACGGTCAACTCTTACAGGGTAAATTGTTACATATAAAGCCGTTTTTGTTGACTAAAATCTTACCTAGTAAGTAAATAAATAGTGTCGAATTTACCGGTAAGTGTTTACCGGGTAAGTGTTTGATAAATGGTCCTAAAGGGTTTAAATGACAATAAGAACCGAATCAAGGAGATTAGATGTGTTAACAGCCGAGCAGTAAATTGTTCAAAGAATATTATATCAAAACTTGTCCTCAAATAACTTTTCCGGAATAATTATTGACTCAAACCTGAGATCAATTAATTCGTTTGTTGGTTCTAACTCTTCATATATGATTTATGAACAAAAAAAATGTATGCTTGAATGGCTCTTCTCGACAAGAAAAATTAATCGAGCTTTTGAACAAGTTGAGTTAAATGTGTTATCAAGTTTAACTCACTTTATTTTGGTTTCGAGTCGACTCAAGCTCGATCGGCTTCATCTTTCCCAATAAGTGCAACATGTACTTTAGGAATTTGGGGATTTCACATATCGCTCTTTCTCAAAGTTATTCAAAATGAGAAGCAACTTTTTGAAGGCTCTGTCACCACGTACTAATATTATAGTTTATCTAAAACAAGTAATAAACAAGATAAATTATAAAAGTTCACATCATATTAAAAGTCTTAGAATATAAAACAATAAAAATGCTTAAAATGACAAAGTAACATGTGAAATTCACTTAAACAAAATCATTATTTTAACATTCTTCGAAACAAAGTCTTCAATGAGTTCTTCATAATCAACTTTATCCAAAAAGTCAGTTTCAATCGCGATCATGGCAAATCCGTTGAGTCTATCTTGTGTCATTGTGGAGCGCAAATAGGACTTCAACAGCTTCAACTTTGAAAAAAAAATCTGCAGAGGCAACGGTTACAAGAATAATCAACATATAAGCAATGATAGCATTAGGGAAACATTCTACATGCTTCAAATATTTCAAAATATCAACAGGTCTCATATTTTGATTTGGTAAATAATATTGAAATACCTTCAATTCCACATACAAGTCATTCTCATCTACATCAGATTGGTCTTGCCTCTTTAGTGCATTTTCAAAATTAATACAAGAAGACTTCAAACACGTATTATCCAAAGAACATAGCTTATCAGAAGTAAATAAGAAACCCAAAGACACTTTCATGTTCTTCGTATTGTTCAAATCTTCTATTGAGTGAAGCGATTACATGATCAACAACACACACAAAATAGTTAACTCTAAATGATTCCTCAGCAAATTGTGAAGTAATTTCAGATGCATTACTCGGATTTTCATCAAAATGTCTTTTTCTTCGAATTTCATGTCTACGGGGAAATAATGGATGGATATTCAATTCAATAGCAATTTTCTTTGTTGATTATATGACATCTAAAAACTTTGTTTCTCTGTACCTCTCAAAAAAATAAATCAACCCCTTAATTTATTCAATAGCAACATCAATCAACTTACTTTTTGACTGTAATTATTTACTAACCAAATTTACGACATATAATATTTCATACCAAACCACTATTGACACTAAAAACTCAAAAAGACTTTGTTTCACTTCCAATTTTGAATCATTATCAATTTCAGCTACTTCAAGCAAAACTTCTCTCATATCTGATACTTGAAATCTTATTATAGTTTTTACACTATCAATACAACTCTCCCAACGAGTCGTTGATGACTTGACTGTCCATCCTTTTACATTATGTTTGATCACTTGCCATCTTTTTGTAAAATTAGAAAATATCGTATATATACGTTGAATAATACCAAAAAAGTCTCTAGCTTTAGGATAGGGTGGGAAGGTGGGTGACTGCGACAATAGTGGTATGGTAGTGGTGGGTTAAGGGTGGGGCATGACAAACAATAGTAGCATGGTCACAGTGGGTGGTGATAGAATTCAGTTCCTTCCATAATTGTCAAAAAATGATGAATTCATTAATTTGTGAAATTCAATGAAATTTGAAAGATTCTATCAATTTCAAGAAATGAACCAAACAAAGTAATTGTAAATTGGTTGTCATTCCAATTTCATCAAATTCCTTCGAATTCCACGAACCAAACGACCCCTATCTAAGGGAACAAAACTATAAAAAGTTGTAAACCATAGCGACCAAAACAACAATAAACTATAAATCATAAAAACGAAAATAACAATAAATTACAAATCATAAAAACAAAAACTGCAATTTCTAAACCACAACGACAAAAAAAAAACATATTTTTTTACTAACCACAGGGACGAAAACGTAATTTACTCTAATTCAAAATAACAGTTTTATATAAGAATATAATTACATCATTAATATTTGGTTTGTCAGGAATATGTATTATATAAAGAGGGAAAATAGCAAAAACCATAAACAGTTAAAACTGAAATGGGAAAAATAGGCACCAAAAAACCATACACACTTGACAATTGACAAAGCAAACAGAATTCACAAGATATCTTACAAGTTATGAGGCCACACCCACACCATGTCTTGAAAAGTTCAGTTACTTGTGCTTGGCTTTTCGTTTTTCGATATTTTGCCTGGCGGCTTCGAACTCTTCGTCAGTAGGTTCCGAACTTGGTTGCCCTCCACCGTATTTGCTGAGTAGAGACGTGAACATCGAGTCTAGACCACCTTTTCTCTCGCTTTGACGCTGTGAAATGATGGCATACAGATCGTTCGGTTCTTTCTTTGATCTGTTGAGATCAGTTTGTTTCTTCAAACAAAAATAAACACTAGAAAAAGGACATAACCAGAAACTATAGAAGGATCATATGACTCACTTCTCCTTACGACGTAATGAGTCTGTAGGTGGTTTAGTGTCCAACACCTGTTTAGCCCATTTCTTATATGCTTTGGTTGACTTCAACTCTCCTGCAACAAGATAACAAACCACATGATGAACCCGTCTCACAAGTTGAACGACGGTTCTACTCTTTGGTGTAGAAGTCAAGTATAAGTATATCCGTTACTAGGGGAGTCTAAGTATGGGCTTGTTTGGTTTCGTTTGGTTTATTCTCATGTTTCAAAAGTGAAAAATGGGATCAATATTGATCAACCAATCCCATTCAGCTGTTTCTGGTGATATTGTCGAAGGTATTACCTGAAGAAATTGCATTATCAATGATGTCCTTGAATCGATGTGAATCAAGCTTAGGATCTGAGCATAGCATTGAACAGAAGAGCCTGTCGTGGATATCAAATAAGAGGTTAGACTTTTGAACGATTTCTTCTCAATATATACTAAAACCTCCTTTCTATTCTCAAGGGATCTTTTACTGAGCAAATTAATGGGGTTTCCACATAAGTGATTTTGTATCGAAATGAGGAATAGGAAATGTGTAAACCTGTTCATATGACCTTTGTACTTGTTGTAAAGATCAATCAAATCAGTTTTCTCTGATTCAGATCCTCTATATCTGGCTTCAAACTCTTCAATGTCAGCCTCCGTGACCTATAACGAGCATGCGATTTTTCTACTTTTTAGAGGAAATATAGAAGAATGAAATATCAATTTTTCTGAAAGTTGTATACAAGTAATAGAACCTTTTTGTACATGGATCTGAAGAAGTCCTTCAGATTTTGAACCACATCCCCAGCAAGATACTGCAAGTCAGCAACTTTCGAGGTTAAACAAAGCTTCAGATAAAGAGGAATGTGATGAAAACTTGTGTAACTGTAAAATCGCAAAGTTACTCACAGCATCATCAACACAGCCGGTCTGATCATAAAGCATCCGTTTATCCTCATCACCAAGTATCGACACAACTTTCTGCAGTTGCTGAAATTTTTCTTTAGCATCCTACATGTAAACAAGTGGAAGTCAAAAAAGGCAATCGTGTCATAAAAATAAATTAAAATGTTTGAATGGGACAAAGTAAATATCAAATTCACCTCTTCATCAGGATTCTTATCAGGATGTAATCGCAATGCCAACTTATGGTATGCCTTCTTTATCTCCTGCTGAGATGCTGTTCTTTCTACCCCAAGAATCTAAAAAGCATTTTGTCATCGGAAACATATTAGTTTGTCAACTCGGGTTTGAAATGTATGCATTACTCTCTATTTCAAATGCTTACAAGATGCATCATTTTGGTTCTAAATCGTGGGTAATCAAACACAGAATACAGTGGGCAATATTTCAGGTTATATAGTGGAAATCACCAACAATGGAGTATTAGATCTCAAGTTTTAGGAAATAACAAGTTCTAGTCTCATCAAATGTCTGTCTTTTTTCTGCAAGTATAATAACTTCTTCACTAGTTCTAATAGACTTTGATGTGAATCAAATGGCTGTTCATATGCCTTTATCTACGGAGGTTCAACCAAAGGCACGTTACCTTATGTTTTCTAATATGAATCTTGTCTCTTAACTATTGGAGATCCCATTTCCGCACACATTCAAGATATTATGCAAGGAAAAACTACACAAGTGACAATGGCATATCTATGTGGATATAAAGGGTCCTTATAATTGTAGTTATTTGTATTGCACTTTATGTTCCCTTGTTTGTGTAACCTATTTCTCTTACATATGTCCTTGATGCATTTTCTATTGCTTGTTTGCACACTCTCATATGTAACCTACAAGACAAGGTCTTCATAGAACAACCTCTCTACCTTATCCTAACTCCAAACCCCAACGCTTGCATGGAATTTACTTGGTCCGCTTGATTTGGTTTTTATTTTCTATCTTGTAGCAAAGTTCCAGTTTTTTACATTGCTTATAATCCAAATGAACTATTTGGCATATTAAATCTAAGTAAGGGTTGGGTTTAGGTGAGATGGAGAGTTAAAAGTGAGAAGCGTAAGAAGGGATCTCCACCCTTAGATGCACATTAGGATGAGATGCACCGAGATGAACCAAATCAATCCCCGTATCAAGCATGATTCATGGGCGGGTTTGAAATTAACGTAACTTGGTTGACGAATATAGTTTATGTTCCGCTAATGTAGCGGCTTGTCGAGCATTTGACAAACACCATCCATTTCGAATGGGATTTGTCCTGTGGACATACAAGCAATCCAATCCCTAGGATTTCAAGAGTAACACTTCTCATCTTAACTCTCATTTTCACACAATCCTTCACAATCCTTCGCCTTTAAGTAAACTGTAACATATGGGATTGTAAGTAATTTACTAATTTTTTATTAAAACCCCAGCTCATAAAAGAAGGCTAGAACGCATAAGGATCTGAGACCTAAAGCCAATAGGGTAATATAATCAAACTCAGATTTACAACATATTTCTCATATATTTGAACTTGCCATATTAGTTGTTCGTAATTAAAAAACTATCAGCAACACTATTTGCAATTGAATCATAGACATGAAAATTGCCGATATGATTAGATACTGAGACACTAATGACGATTGCTTGAAACAAAAAACCTAGGTTTAGCCCAAAAAAAATCTATGATGGTTAGCACTATGAAAACTGAAGCATAACACCCCCTAATCTTTTCGCTCTAAACAGTCATAATAGAAGGGTGTGAAAAACAATCATTGATGAAGCAGCTACAAACGAAATCGTTAGTGGATTTCTATTGAAAGTTTAGAATCAGATGAGATACCTCATACAAGCTCTTATCATTCGATAAAGACGAAGACTCGTCTAGATTGCGTTGATTTTGTTGCTGTTGTTCATCGTCGTCTTCCATGATTTCCTCACGAATCGAAGTATCCTTCCTTTTACCCATTTTTAGAGGAAATTCGTTGATGCAATAATACCACAAATTGAATTCAAATCGAATCTGAGATATATACTGTGGAAAAATAAAAAACTAATGGGCTATGAATTCAATCGAACTGCTGATTTTTCCCGCCACAACATCCCTTACACTACAGTTCAATTATTCCCGCCATTGCAACAGGTGAAAGTCGTAGTGTCATACTCATAGCGTCCCTGTTTTGTTTTTGAATAAATTACATGAACAGTCCCTGCCCTTTTTTATTATTGTTGTAAGGGTTTGTTTGTTTACTTTTTTTAACGGTTTTAGTAAGAGGCCGTCTCTGAATCATTAAGAGATGAATCTTGTTTGGCAAAAAAAAATCTTTTTTAATCGTTCTAAAATTTTTCGAATGATTTTGCATCTTGTGTCTCCTTTAACCATTCAGTGTTCTAATTTTATTGTAAACAATTATATTTTATTTTATAATATATTATGAGAACGTCTTAATCATTCTGACCACTTAATAATTCTGCATCAAACCATTTAGCAACTATCAAACAACCCCTAAGAGTAAATTACATCCTTAGTTCTTGTGGTCTACACAAAATCATACTGTGTGTTTCTAAATGAAAATAATTATGAAAAACGTTCACGTGGCATTTTATTACGTCTTTGGTCCCTTTGCCCTAACACCGTTAGATGATTCTATTAAGTAGGTTAATTAGAAGGATAATTTAATCATTTCATATTTTTTAGGTTTCTATTAAAACTATAGAGACCAAGAATGTAATATATTTTAATATCATAGTCCTACCTCGTTCTCTCTCTCACATCTCTTTTGATGATATATACATACAAACATTATATATATATATATATGTATGTATATGCAGTGACGGATGCAGAAACTTTATTTAGTGGGGGCATCTTTTAAGGATGTCAAAAAAAATTTGAAACTCAATAATTCTTTCGAACTACTACGATTTTGGGTTATTCAGTTTTCGGCTTAAAGGTCCACTTTAATTGAATAAAAATAATTTATTCATTAGTATTATAGCAAACAAAACAAGAGAAATAAAATGAATTTTAACAGGTTAACACTTAGAAGTTAAAAGAATTAGAGTTTAATTGATCAAGTAATGACTCCTTCAAGAAAGAGTTCTAAATGAATGACAATAATTAGAATTGAGTTTAACTTTTATTTGTTCCAAACCTATTAATAATTTTAGGTTAACAAAAAATAAAAATACAAATATACTACTCATGGGGTTTATTGGGGGTCTGTGCCCCCTACCCCTTTGATGTGAATCCGCCAATGTGTATGTGTATTTATAGCGTATATTTCAAATGCAACTATGTTTATTTGTATAAACAATGCAATCCAACCAATTGAAATATTTATGGAAATGATGAGAGTTCATTTATTATAATTTGAATATTTATGGAAGATGATTCGAGTTTATTAATTATGATAACTACTTTATATTATGAAACAATCAAAACTTTTATGAAATCACATATTCATCAAATTAAATGGATGGTTGAGATTGAGTTGTATTGATTGTACAAATGTAAAAGGTTGCATAATAACTCACATATCTCTTAGAGAGGAGGAGGAGGAGGTTTACTTTGTAAACCACGTTATTTGTACAAACCTCATTCAACCAATCATAATTTTTCATTTTGTTCATTTTTTTATAATTATGAGATGTTGATTAATCATTTTTATTGTGGAGGATTTTAATCATAGATATTATCATCTTCATTATTTTAGTTTTAGATAAATACATGAAACAGTTTCATTAAAATTTCATTAAGTATTATATGAAATAATTTCATAACCATATATGAAACAATTTCATCAAAAAAAAAGTATTATATGAATCAATTTCACAAGATTAAATAATTTCATGAAAAAAATTCATAAGATTAAACAATGAAATMGACGGATGAGGGTGGTTTGCACGGTTTGTACAAATTGGGTGGTTTGCATTTGATCGTTTCTCTCTCTTTATATATATGTATATATATGTATATATATGTATATATATGTATGTATGTATGTAGGGGTGAGTTCAAATAAAAACCACTCAATTTGTAAAACCGTGAAAACCTCATTCAACCAACTATAATTTTTCATTTTGTTCATTTTTTTGTAATTAGGAGAGGTTGATTAACCATTTTTATTGTGGAGGGTGTTGATCTTGGATATTATCATCTTCATTATTTTAATTTTAGAGAAATACATGAAACAGTTTCATTAAAATTTCATTAAGTAGTATATAAAACAATTTCATCACCACATATGAAACAACTTCATCAAAAAAGTATTATATGAAACAATTTCACAAGATTAACAATTTCATGAAAAAATTTCATAAAATTAACGACGGATGAGAGTAGTTTTTACGGTACGGTTTTTACAAATTGGAGTGGTTTTCATTTGATCGCTCCTCTATATATGTATGTATGTATATGTACGTATGTGGGGGAGCGATCAAATACGACCTATCTATATTTGTACAAACCGTGCAAATCATATCATCTGTTAAATCTCATTGTTTAATTTAACGAAATTGTTTCATTAAATTGTTTAATCTTATGAAATTGTTTCATACAATCCTTTTCTTGATGAATTTGTTTCATATATGGTTGTTTCTATGTTGTAATGAAATTGTTTCATGTATTTCTCTAAAATTAATACAATGAATATGATAATATCCACAATTAACACCCTCCACGATAAAAATGACCAATCAACCTCTCAAAATTACAAAAAATGAAAATTTATGATTGGTTGAATAAGGTTTGCACGATTTGACACATTATTTATATTTGTTGGTACATTAGCTCTTAAGGTTAATACCAGTGTAATATTTTATAAGTGATTATTTGTCTAGGGGTCGTTTACCAAACACTTATCCGAGTAAGCATTTACCAAGTCACATTACCTCACCGGATTAATATGGTAAGGACTAAGAATCTTACCCGGTAAGAACGAGACATGGACCATGAGTATTACCCGGTAAGTGAGGGCGACGACTCTTACCACGGTAAGCGTTTATCGGGTGAATTGTTGAATACAATATTGTTTTGATGGACTAAAATCTTACCCGGTAAGTAAATGATAGTGTTAAATTTTACTGGTAAGCACTTACCGAATAAGTGTTTAGTAAACGGCCCTTAATATGTTTTATTACTTAGTTACTTGCCAATGTTTGTCCAGTGGCTTAAGAATATGACACGAGAACTCATAAAATCAGTTTCTAGGGCCTTAAATGAAGGGTTGAAAATATAGAAGTTTTCAGATACACAAACATGTTAATTGTTATATTAATTGATCTTAAAATCTCTACATAATACAAGTATAACTTAGGGGTCGTTTACCAAATACTTACCCGGTAAGTGTTTATTGGTAAATTTTAACACTATAATTTATTTACCGGGTAAGATTTTAATCTATCAAAACGACATCGTATGCAACAATTTACCCGGTAAGCGCTTACCATGGTAAGAGTCGTCGTCCTCACTTACCGGGTAATACTCTTGGTTCTTGTCTCGCTCTTACAGGATAAGATTCCTGGTCTATACCATATTAATGCGGTGAGGTAATGTTACTTGGTAAGCACTTACCGAGGTAAGCGTTTGGTAAACGGCCCCTTAGTTGTCAACATGAATTAGATAAAATTTCCGTGTAGGGCAGACATAATCAACTTGATCAAGAATGTAATTAGTCGGGTTGAGTTATACACTTAAAATATTATTAATGAGGTATTATTTGCCGAAATAGTTGGGTTGAATCAGTATGACCTACCTCTTTGGACGCATAAATGTTAAAAAAAATCCATCAAACAAAAGTACTAGCATTATCAAGTACAACGGATATCATTTGATCTTTCAAATGGTATTCATATATCAAATTAAACACTGCATGTTTATGGAGATCTTATATGAATGGGTGATTGATAGTGTTATCACAGACGTATTATTATTTTTTATGGCTAAAATGATCTGTTGGTCCCAGATGAATCTTGTAGATCCCATATTACAACGAAATCAAGACTGACTTAATATTCAATATAGATTACATGAAGAACACAATGTACAAGACTGTTTATTATTGAAAAACATAAAGCAAACTTACAGAGCAATCTCTCTCTCTAATCGACTCTTATTAGACTCTCATACATGAATTCTAAAACCCAAGACAACTATTTATAGGTGTCAAATACAATGTAAGCCCAATGCCCAATTACAAAATATTACAATATAATACATGAAACTGACTTTATAAAACTTTCAATATCTTGAGGCTAATCTAGATCCAACAATCTCCCCCCTAAAGTTTTATAAATGAAGCATTTTCTGAAGCCTTTAGATAATCTCCCCCTGCTTTCTTTGGAAAATGTTAGTGTTGCTCATCTTTGAATAACATATCAAACCCCCCCCCCCCCAAATTGAATAAGCTCTTTCTTCAGTTTCATCTTATTTTTATTTAATGTTCCTTCAGTACCACTGATTGCACCAAAAGCAGCTTTAAACTGTACACATCTCAACACAACCATTAACTTCAGAATCCCAGCCAACCCATAAGCATATTGATTCATCCAACAACATGATAGATAATGTGTGAGTTACGTGACATTTCATTGTGCAGAAACAGTCTAATAACAAAGAATCTTTCTTTGAACCTTGAGTTGAATAAGCTTTCAGCTTAAGAACTTGTACTGATAAGCTCACAAATTAGGGGTTCAATATCAGCTTGAATAATTCAGAATAAACACCTTTTGATAATGAAACTGGAAAAAAACAACATCAAGAACATAGCTTCTTGATCAATAGATGTCGATCAAGAAAGATAAGTCGATTTCCTTCATACTTTCACAAAACTTAATAACTAAACCCAGATCCAAAATTCTCAATCAGTTGGATGATTATCGACACTCAAAACTCTAAATCACAACCATACCTCCAAAACAATGATTGTAATCATTCAAACCTCTATTTGATCGGGTTAGATAAATGATTGAGAAACTCAAAGGTCTGGTAACTCCAGAAACTCTAGAACAATGATTACAAACCTTCAAAATTCTGATTGATCAGGTCAAAGCAGTGATTGAAAGCACTCAATGGTCTAGCCTCTTGTGCAAAACTTTAGAGTAATGATTGCAAATACTCAAACTTCTAACCAGTCTAATCAAATATTGAATTTAATCATTCAGTTCTGAAAAACTTAAGCTTGATAATATTTACCAAAAAGTCAAATTTTTGGCCTAGCGGTATCGTAGCCCTTGGCCTTCTAGGAGGTCAGGGGTTCAAACCTCACCATAGGTGAGGAGGGTGTGTGAGTTTATTTGTTACATTTGTCGTATATAAATATTATATACTTAAAAAAAATCAAATTTTGACTTCCTAAAGTCAAATGTTGACAAAATGTTGATGATGCTTTTGTTGGGCAAAATTTGAATAAAGAACACCATCCAATATAGCATAGAGTTGTCTTGGGCAAAGACTAAAATAAGTACAATAAGGTTATACATAGTATAACTCGTAGAGGTGAGCGATTACTATGGATGAGAATGATATCGCCCATGGCTTAGGCGGTTTCCTCAATTAAGAATGTATATCGCCTATGCCTTGGCCGATATACTCAAATTTCCAAAAATTGCTCAACATTAACAGACATCGCTTGAGGCTTGAGCGATATACTTCGAATATCGCTTGAGGCTTGAGCGATATACTTCGAACACCGCTTGATGCTTAGGTGATATAGGCAAACTGCTTAATATGAGAATATCACTCATCAAATAAAATATCGTAAAACAAAGATATCGCTTGACACTTGCGCGATTTTTAAGCTTCAAAGACCACACGAATATCGCACATCACATGGGCGATATATGAGTATATCGTTCAACACTTAAGCGGTGTTCTCCAATATCGCTCATGTCTTAGGCAGTTTACACAAATATCGCTCACCTCTTGGATGGTATCCTCAAATATCGCTCAATTCATTAAAAAATTGCCCAAGTCCAAAAACCGCTCAAAGTAGTTTCAAAAATAGCCAAGTACACCAACATCTTCAATGGACGATATCCACCAAATATCGCTCAATACAACCTTTAAATCTTCAACGAGTGATGTTCTTGATGAATATCTTTCAAGGCAATATTCATCAAGCGATATTCATGGATCTAACAGTTCAGCTCAAATAGTTTGACTAAAAATCCATCAAAATCCAAGATTTGTTCAAAGAAAGTCCAACTTGATGATCATAACATGTTCGAAAACACAAATAGGTAAATCTATAAGCTTGAATTGGATTAAAACATCCAAAATCATAATGAATTTGATCAAATACGCTCAAAACAGTCGAACATGGAAATTGTTCATTCACGAGTACTATTCCATTGCAAAAACATATTCAAAACTTGAATTTTGTTGCAAAAGATGATCATATCAAATAAAATTTGATTCAATTATGCTCTGATACCACATGTTGATCCCAGATTACAACAAAATCAAGTTTGAATTAATATTCAAGATAGATTGCATGAAGAACACAATATACAGACCTGTTTGATATTGAAAACAGAAAACAAACTTATTAAGCAATATCTCTCTAATCGATTCTCATTAGACTCTTATACATGAATTCTAAAACCCAAGACACCTATTTATGGGTGTCAAATACAATGTAAGCCCAATGCCCAATTATAAAGCATTACAATACAATACATGACACTGACTTTATAAAACTTTCAATATCTTGGGCTAATCTAGACCCAAAAGACCTACAAGAGCTTTTAGATAATAGTTTGTAGATGGGGAGGGGGGTGAATACAAACACATAGTTTTCACTTTATTCATAAGAGAAGATTTTGCAGATTGTTTACGGGAGAAGATCAGATTAAGAACTTATCTAAATAATCTAGGAAGCACACAAGTTACACATAAGAGCAAGAGAGAGTGTTTACTTTAGAATGTGTTATTCTTTGCTCGAGTAAGATTAGCTTTGCATTTGAGAAGAGAGCCTTCTTGCATTTAATGCAAGTCATAGGGTATAAAGCACGTGACAAACTTCTAGTTGAGAGTTTGTTCTTTGTCTTCAGATATACAGGTTTTTGGCAGTATATGAACAATACTCTTTCATAAATTAGGTAAGTACGCTTGGAGACAATAGAGTGACTCCGTACATGTGCTTTATTATGTGAGATATGGGGTTGTCCTTTATGTGCAGGAGGATAAGACAAAAACTAATCTTGTAGAGCAAGATTCATTTGAACGTTGACACTTGCATAACTGTAGAGTTTCTTCAGCCTTCATTGAATCTTGATTAGATTTCTCACTTTGATGTAGGCATGCTTGTTGTCACTAAACCCGCTTCAGATCATGAACTACTTGTCTCTATCTTCAGCTATATCTCCGATATTCTGAAGGTTCCTTTGGTGTGAGTTTTGTCTTATTGAAGAATACTAATCCCTTAGAAAATTTTACAATACATATTTAGCGAAAACTGAACAGACTTAGTGATGATCGTTGAAACTGAATAAAAACAGAACTAAGTATTTTTTGCTAAGTATAAAGGATCATGATAATATCATTGAGAGAGTTTGGATCAACAATCTCCCCCTATTTGATGATGACAAAGCAACAAAAAAGAAAATTGCTTAGTTGTTACAGTATGGAAAAAGAACTTGTAAGATACATGTCCCTTTTACTGTTTTTTGGGATCTTTTTCAGTATCAGAGTATATTATGGAAATTCATTTATTCGGAAAGAATTACAAGAGAGAGAATGAGGTTGCATAACATAAATAACTTAGGGGTAAAACAGATGCCTCAGGGCTAGGGCGAATTTCAATAGATGAGACCTATTGAGAGGTCTCAGCTAGATGAGAAGGCTTCTCTTGTGAAGTTTTCTTAACCCTCTTTGAGGGATTAATAAGGCTTCAAATTGTGTCCTCTTTCGAGAGGATAGGGAGGTAGCAACTTGGGTAGACTTTGGAGGTTGAACTAAAGTCGTTGTTGCTGAAAGAGAAGAAGAAGGAAGAGAAGAAGTATTGACTATCCTCAGCATTATGGGGAATAAACCAACATCTAAAAGCTTGGACTTGTGATCAAGAATCCTTGATCCAAGCCTGCAGAGGGAAGGTCACCCCGAACGGGGTATTGCTTTTTCAACATCCTTGAGATGATATCGCTCAGGAACCTTGTGTACGGGACGACCTTTTTCCCGTTGACACTTGTTCAGCTTCAGCGTCAGGTCGTCAAAAATCAGCTGAGCAAAGTCATCGTTTTTGTTCCTTTTGATCGAGTAGCCAATTTTCAGTGCTACCCGACTTGCTTGTTCTTTGTCACCTGTTTTCCTACCTATGCACTGAATGAAGTGAGAGAAGAGGTTTTGCCAAACTGTAGACATCTGATTCTTCTCAATCTTGGTCAAAGACTTGTTGAGTTCTGAATCAGAGTCCTTCTTTAGCAGCCATTCATAGTGAATACCGTCGAGCGATAGCTTTACTTTCAGGGTCTTGTGCGAATAAGGGAGGAACCTTGGGAAGCTGTAACGCTGAGCAAATGGTTCCAGACCTAAAGTTCATCGTCACGTTGTTGATCTGGCATGAGATCTTGATATAGGGGTTCCCAAGCATGTCTGTGGTAGTCTTTACCTCAACAGTGAACCATAACTGCTTCAATATGTCTTTCACCATCATTGTTTATCGTAAAAAGATGGCATGAAGGAATTGAAATTTCTTGGTAAAACCTAGAGGAATTTACATTCCAACATATACAAAAATTCAAATTCCTTATCAAAACCCAAAGAATGAACCACATGCTTAATTGAGATTCAACCAATGGAATTTACCATTCCAGTTCTTTCCAATTCCGTCGAACCAAATGTCACCTAAATACAATGTATCGCTTTGTAATATGTAACTCTTTAATTTCAGGTTTACAAGTAATAACAATAGATCGACTATTTTTGTCAATTTCCTGAAATTCATGGTATTTGAAAATGCATTATCCAAACACCTAATGGCATGATGGTAATAAAGTAGTGGTGAGGTGAAGGCAAATTTGGGCCTCACCGACTACGTGATAGAAAATGAGAGTTTCGTTGGCAGGAAGGAAGAAAACAAGTCTTAAATAGGTCGAACGACTGATAAGAGGAGATCACAATCCCATCCCACCCCCAATTTAATCAAAAATCTCCAATCTCCTTCGATTTCTTCGACCATATCATCCGATTAATTTACTCAATTACAGGTGAAATTGATTTCTTTCTCGATGTTTATCATTCAATTTCATGATTTTGGTTTGAATATCGTCACAAGAGTTTGCCATACCTAGATCGATATAAAACTATTGGGTTTTCCCGTGTTTGTATTTGTATTTTGCAGTAGAGATCGTTCTTGGTCTTCGATGTTTGATAGTTGGGGGGTGAAATTTGAAATCAATTCCTCTTAATTTTGGCGATGATTAGGGTTTCCTTTGTTTTCTTTTAGTCGGCCGTTTTTTTTTATCTCAATTTTGGTTTGTATTCGCGTCGTGGAAGATATATACGATCTCTGTATGTTAATTTACTTTCCAAGGAATGATGATGTTGTGTGCCTTTGGTTTTCAAGTGTGATTTTGAAAGTTGGATAATCTGTAAAATCGTATGTGATGATGAATATTTGGGGTTTTATCATCTGCTGTTTATTGGATTGGGATGTGTATCCAATTGTGGTTTCACTGTTTTTTGTTGTAATAGCTTGTTTGCCAAGTGATCTAGTGGCGGTATTCTCTCTCTCTTAAGTTTCATTTGTCAGCTTCTATATGAATTGGTATGGGAATAGATTGGTTGAGCCAAGTTTTGAGGAATATAAGAAGTAGATAGAACCTAATATACCTACTCTTTTTAGATACTGCAATAAGCAAATTATGAGTATTGCCTTTTCTGTTCATATAAGTTAAATTTATGTTATCTATTGACAAATCTTTCCTCACTTGGTGCATGCAGGTATTAACTTATTATGTTTGTTTATAAAAAACTTACCCCGATTAATTTGTTTCAGTTGTTGATCAGGCATTTGCTGAACTGTCATTATGCTTATGCAGGCTTGATAGTTGATATTATGTACTATTCTTTACTTGCTTAGTGAGGAATTAATGTTATTTAACTAAAGCTTTCTATATGATTTGAAAGTTCATGCATACTATGCTTTGTGCATGAAGGTTAATTAAACCACTGTTCGTAAACTTTTGTATGTGATTTTCATTTTGAGTTTTTCTGGGCACCATTTAAGGGATGGGGAGGCTGCTTTTTGCCAATGTACTTGTTAAAGCCAAAGTTTTGCTTGCGTGGTCAAAGATATTCGTTAAACATCCACTGAATAAACTTCATACTCTGGTGGAACACCCAGATTGAAAATATAATCTTTTTGCTCTTATACAAAATATCAGTTTTCTTCTTCTCACTTTATTCCGCAGGCTGTATTGCTTATTTGTATCTGTGTTTTCTTGTTATTTCTACTTTCCTATGAGTCACATAGGTGGATGTAGAACCATCCAGTTAAATCAGTGGTGATGGTTGGTTAATTCAGCGCTATGGATGATATGCAATTCTTGACACTGCTCGTCACCACAATGTAGTAGTTATCACATTAGATTGCTACCTTGAACAACAGAGGCATCAAGCTGCGCGATCTTGATTTCCTTAAAGTGCTTGTAAATTGTACATTGCTAAATATTTTGTTAATAAATGATTCCAAAACTCATTCAATTTTAATCTGCCTACCCATCTTGGAAAGTGCTAATATAACTAGAGCACTAATTAATAAGTACTATAACCGTCAAAGAAAATAATCAATTGTTGAGAGGGGGATGGATCTTATTTCTCTCATGTAGAATAGGAATTGTTGAATGTTGGACTTCTCGGTGTGTGATGGATCTAAAATTTCATTTGCTTTCTTGGTATATTGTTACCCTGTAGATATCTTCCATGGTGATGCCTGAAGTTCATTCTTTCTACCAGGGTATGCAAGTTACATGTATGATTTTAGATAATAGTGATCCTCTAGTCACATTGAACCATTGATCAAGTCATAGCTTGGGCCTTTGAGCTCCTGCCTTCATTTATTTTTTGATTATGAGCATAATAACCACCATTTATTGTCATTATATATTTCCTCAAATGATTATTAATGATTCATGATAAAGCACCTGCATATGTCTTGTTATTAAATTTTGTCTTCTTGAAACTCAATGCTATCTGAAGTCAATTTGAATAGTGAGGCTAGTATTTACTTGAAATGATGAGATCCACCTCTATCCTTCCATAGTTATTTAACAAATAATACTTCTTAACTGCTTGTGGTATCAAGTGTGGTTGAAAAGGTTACTTTTGTCAGTTTGTGGGTCAGTTACTGAAATAACACGAATGTATTTGGTAAAATAATTTCTATACCCAGTTGGGTGTCATTTGCATTACATGGGTTGATTTAACTTGCATGACCCCAATTGAGGTGTTTAATGCACCGGCACACCTGCCACACCACAATGACCCAATAAATAAATGTGACGGTGGAGCCCAAGATGCTGAGGAAGGCTAGGAGTGGAGGAGGTATAGTTACAAGTCTAGGTGTTACTAATGCTAGAGCCAATTTGACCATGAAGGTGCCTGCTACAGGAGTATGAGAGACCAGCATTTTATATCTCAAAGATGTGGAGTCTATGTCATATGGAAGTACTAACTTTACCATTTTTAAGCATTGTGTTCAAGATCACATGATAGGGAGGTTCTATTTTGCTGATTGGATTTGGTGGATGTGGTTTGGTCAAATTAAAAATGGTAGGCCTAAATAATGTGTTCAATGTGAATATTTGAATGCCAGATGACAGTTGCTGGCATGGTGTTAGCACAATAAGTATTTCACACAAGTGTACAGTGTACCAAAATAGCTTACCGGATGAGACCACCCATCTACCCCTGATGAACCATGTTCCACTAACTACTAGTAGCATGCACCAATACGTTCTGTGGATCAACATGTAAGACGAGTCAGGCAGCATTGGGTCTGACATACAGTGAACTGTCAACAATATTTAATCTGTTGGGGCTTGTGATGCTAATTTAAGTTATTACTCGCATTTAGTTCTTCATGGGATACTGCAGAGGAAACTGTCTTCTTATCAGCCTTTTATTAAATTTTGCAATACAGCTTACATAATAAGATATCTACGCATATGATAATCTTTTCTTTGATTAGATATGGTAAGCCTGTATAAAAGTTATTAGTATGTTTAAAGCTTTTCGCCTAAAATGGAAGAGAGCTTAACATGTTTAAGGTGTTTGATTGATTTTTGTAACATTCCCACCTATTTTGATCTAGGCAACAGTGTGTTTTAGTTGTGTGTTAAAAGGAATTTGTGGCCTATGTGCAGTTGCACATGGGGCAGTTAGAGTGGGCATTTCTTGATTCATATTGTATGTTGAGTCATCACAGGTGGCTTAATGGATCATCCATTATATGCCAAGTCAATCTCAACTATATTCTCTAGTAATTACCAATTGAGCAAATTTGACTCACTTGTAGTTGATTTTAATCTATTTCCATGTTAGACGATAAGAATATATGTATTTGTATTCAGCATCATCATGTTTTCAGTGTATGTCTTGCTATATAAAGTTATATCAACGTAGTTGTTTTGGCTTGACTCGGCTATAGGTTACCTAATTGGAAAACTGAGGGATGCTTAGAATCCTTGAGACTTGATAGGAGTTGCCACTGGCTGTGTCTTATTGCCTTAAGCACATTGAATGACACTTTGGTTGTAGAGAGGATAATGCATACAGAAAAGTAGAAAGAACTAACAAGGCCCTTGAATATATATATATATATATATATATATATATATATATAGATATATATATATATATATATAGATATATATATATATATATTCCCACATTTCGTGATTTTGACTTTTGTGATGGCTTTCTTATGATGGTCTTTTTCAGTTTTCTAGTACCCTTCTTTCCTGCTCAGGTCTTTCACTAGTTAGCAATTGGGTAATGATTGATACCTAGACTTATGCAGGGAAGTTTGACAGATGGAATCTACCAAAGAGACAGGGTGCCAGGCGGCTCCAGAGGGCCCTATTCTTTGCATCAACAACTGTGGCTTCTTTGGGAGTGCGGCCACCATGAACATGTGTTCTAAATGCCACAAGGAGATGATATTGAAGCAGGAACATGCGAAACTTGCAGCTTCATCCTTTGAGAACATCGTGAATGGTGGTGGCAGTGAGGATGTGGTGGCTACTGAAGCCATCAAAGCAGCAGCAGCAGCGCCGGTGGAATTGAAAATGGTTCCAACACAAGCACGGCCTGATGACTCCTCAAGTCAACAAGTCGTGGAGGCTAAGGTGAAAGAGGGACCCAGCAGATGCATGACTTGTCGTAAGCGAGTAGGATTAACGGGGTTCAATTGCAGGTGTGGAAATCTGTTCTGCTCTGCTCATCGCTACTCGGACAAACACGAGTGTCCTTTTGATTACCGAAGTGCTGGTCGTGATGCGATAGCGAAGGCGAATCCTGTGGTGAAAGCTGAAAAGCTTGATAAGATATGAAGAAAGGGTCCTATAAAGGGTATTATGATACTTGTAGTGAAAAGTTGAAGTTGCCCCTTTGTCTGGTGGGATTGTTTGAAAGTTGATTTAGAAAAGCCGTGAAGACGGGGGGCACCTTGCCAGTGTTATGAACATACTTATTCTCATTGTCGATTGGTAGGGATTGGTATGGTTTGGTTTGGTTTGGTTTCGGTTTGGTTCGGTTCCAATGTGTGTGTGTTTGTGTGTGTTTGGATGTTTGTGGTCTCTACATAGATGGATGGATCTGTTTGTGTTGATGATCTGTAATTATGAATCCCTTCATCTTGCAAAACTCATTAATGATATGCCATTTCCTGAAAAAGGGGAAATGTGTAATGGAAGTTTCTAGGAGTTGGGTTACTTTTGGAATGAAGAGACCAGAACATTCTAGAAAAATGTTCTGGTTGGGAATTGGAAGTTCTAAAGAAGTTGGGTTGTTTTTTGTGGATGAAGATTGAAAGCAGGTAAGTTGTGAAACTTGATTCATATGCTATGTTGGTTGGAATTTTACAAAATCAATCTTACCCTTTATGTCTATGTACATCTTACTTCTTTTGTCTATCTAGTTTAATTTTTCGGGATCTTGAAAACCGCAATCGACTAATGTCTTGAATCTCGTCGTATGATCAATCAAGATTCTCTTCATTCAAAAACCCTGTTTTTATACGAGATATGTTTGGTTTGATCTGATCTGGTCTATTTGTATACTGAATATGTTTGGTTTACTCAAATCTCATGTGGTAAAATTAAGTTTCTTTTTTTGAAAACATGTTCTTAATTGTACTTTATTTTACAATTTGTCGCTTGACAAAATCTTGTTTGCGGATCGATGTAACAAAGGTTTTTATTAAACTACGTATTAAATCACATGTATTTTTAATAACAAATAACAATATATGTACTGGCCATTTGGTAACGGAGAGATTATCTGGTTTGACTATATAGTGTTGATTTCCATCATTTGGATTTGATTGATGTGAATTACTCCAGTTTATTCATGGTTGCATGTGGTTTAGTCTGTGTATATAAGTTGGTCTAAAAACTCACAGTTACCTAAAAAATCCAAAGTATAGTATAATATAAAATAAAACAAAAAATAGTTTAAGAAGCATGACCTAATAAAATAAAAAGATATAAGAGGAATTTTTGCGACACCCAAGTGGTTTTTTTCCTTCTGTTCTTACCATAAAATAAAAACTCGGAAGGATTCAAACTTGCAACATTTAAATTCCACATACAATTACACTATCAATAAGCTGCAAACACTTTTTGCTAATGCAAAGGAAATTCGAATCTTTATAGTTAGGTCAAGAAAGAACCTTCAGATTTCGATCGAGGAGTACATATCAAATTAGAGAATATCCATCTTTAAGCCCCTCTAAAATTTTTCCACCGGAATGATAAGGGCACCCTTCTTAAATCCCTCGTCGTCCTGTCTTATCCTATAAAATAATAGACATACCTTACCTATATAAAATCTTGTTTCTTTCTAGCAATAAATGAAAGACGAGAAAATAGACACTTCTACTGCCACTACGGGTGTTAAAGAAACCGTTGGACTGTTCAAACCGGTCGAATCAAGTCAAACCGGACCGTTTTTGGCAGTCTGGCGGTCCGGTCCGGTATAAAAATAGCTAACCGCTTGGTTCAGTTTGATATGTGGTTTTGACCATTTCATTGAGCAGTCTGGACCGAACCGATCGCCAAAAAATCACATCACATGCAATAATTATATTTAGTTTTCATGTTGTAGGTTCAACCTTTATGGCCCAATTAAAGAAAGTTTGCTCAAGACATCATGTTTTTAGTTTTCCTTTTTCTTTCAATTTATTGCGTTATCCAAATTGACAAAATTCTGAAATCCGTCAAAAATCAAATCTAAAATTTCAAATTGTCACTCGATTTGCTCAATGTTTTATTTATATACAAATGTTTCTTTTATAATTCGATATTTTTTTTAATAATGTCATATCGGTATAAATTTTATTTTGAATATAAATTTTAAGTTTTTTTTTTTAGTTTGAAGCCCAAAAGAGACACAAAACAGACCATCTAAACTGGTCAGACCATACCGCCTTTTTGTGGTCCGGCTTGACTGGTCTGTGGTTTGGAAGGTTAAACCACCCAAACCGGACCACGAACACCTCTAGAAATACCATACACAACTGGAGTTGATTTATATACTCCAAAGAAGAAAAAATTGGTACATGATGATCAAAGCAAAGTGATTATAAGAAGTATTGAGAATTCTTTAGCAATATGAGAAGAAAAAATTGGTACATGATGATCAAAGCAAAGTGATTATAAGAAGTATTGAGAATTCTTTAGCAATATGATAAAAATTCTAAGGGTCATGGCTATCAGAAAATCTCGACAGTAGGGTTTTAGACCTGATCTTTACCACAAAGAGTAGAGCATGAAAGTAGTGTTATTCGACATTATGTGTTTGATTACTCTATAGGACCAATCTTATGAAGCAGATATCGATGAATTTTTATGGGGAGTGGCTAAAGCTATAAGATGATATAAGGAGCCGTTTATTAAACGCTTATTTGGTAAGTGCTTACCGGATAAATTTCCTAATCGGATGAACATGACAAGGGACAAGAATCTTACCGGTTAAAGCGATGAGAAAGATGGAGAGTCTTACTCGGTAAGTGTAGATGACGACTCTTACCCAGGTAAGCGCTTACCCGATAAATTGTTGCATTCGATACGTTTTGATAAACTAAAATCTTACGCATCAAAATAAATTATATTGTTGACTCGTATCGAACGGCCCCTAAGATCATGTTATTGGATTATAATCAACTTGACAAGGGATTCAGCTATTATGGACTGATATTGCAAGCCAAGATTCCATATATAACTCTGAATGCAGAGACCTAAATGCCCAACAGTTTGCTTAAGCTGTTCTTGTGCCCAAACTTAACAAGTAAGAAATACCAAAAGTATGAGGATATTGGCACTGCCATACAAACCACAAATTCATCATTCACTTGTGAATATAAATGTTTATATAGGTATAGGTATGTATCACCAAAATGCTCCAAGAATGAGCAGACACCTCATGGTTGCATTCTACTATTGAGCAGCCATGCAAGACCATCAAGTATAATCTGCCATACTTCAAAACATACAAAATGAAGTAGCAATAAGATGGGATAATCACAGAGCCATTACTAGCATTATTATCTGTTTCCTACATATATAATCTCAGCTAGTGAAATCCATTTCAGTTTAAGAGAACTATAAATTCCCAATTAGCCGGTGAACCATGTACCGAACACCAGACAGACCCTCTTGTCCGGTCCAGTACTGTCGAACCATGTTCGAGTACCAATGCTAAAAGGGCTAAAGATGCCTTCAAGGATCATGCTTGGACCCTTGTGTTATTTGAAGGCTCAAAGTCTATAATCACTCTGCAAGTAAAACATGTAATTCTACTTTGCATTACACAGACACAAAGTCAATCAGATACCCATTAAGCCATATCCAACATTTTGGAGAAATTAGTACATAAATTAGCAAAATGGGTTAGATGAACTTGCAACAGATTTTAACATGCATGCCTCAAATTAAGACCTAAATTCTATAGTAATTCGATGCTTCAATTACGCATTATTATCAGAAAGAACTGATAAAACCACATATGAACAAATCTAAGTTCACAGATTTTACATATTAGTCCAGTGATTTGGAGATATGCCCCAATAACACCCGAAGTCAAAAACATAAGGCAAGTTTACCATGGAACAGAAGACTCAACAATCAATCAGAATCATCCGCCGCGAGGATCTGTCGCTGAGCCTCGAGTCTTTCTACGGCTTTCTGGTGGGCCCACGTCTCTAGGGTTAGATCGGGCTTGGCGTTGAGTCCGACGCCGAGGATGACGATGGTTAGGAAGCTAGTGACGTAACAAGGTAGCTCCCAATCTTCCCACTTCCTTGACTGGCCCGGTGGTAGAGGGGTCCGATTCAGAAAGTATCCGTTAGGGCGGTCCTGGTGGCCTGGGGTGGTCCACCGGCTAGGACCATCGCCGCTACGTTGCCGGAGTGTGGAGGTAAGCCGTGATCGAAGCATGCCTGCGGCGGCAGAGAAGGGTTTAGCAGACGGCATCTCTACGACGATACCGACGGATGAGGGCTCCGAATTTGTAAAGCGGCCTGCGATCTCAATCTTCAAGGGTCAACGTCCTATACGACGTCGCTTTTCAGTTATGTGTCATTGACATATACGTCCCTATAAAAATGTACTGTTGACATAATACAACCCAATAAAATGTTATATTGGCAAATATATCCCTAAAAATGTGCCATTGACAAATCATATCCCTATAAAATGTTGGTTTCATCCAATTTTAATATTCACCCTCTTTCCTAAGATATGATGGATTTGTCACCAAATTTTACAAATATCTTTTTCATCGTAAGATTAAGGGGTCGTTTACTAAAAGCCTACCCGATAAATACTTACGGGGCAATTTTCCTTATCAGATGAACATGACAAAGGGCAAAAATCTTACCCGCTAAGAGTGATGATAAGAATGAAAAGTCTTACTCGGTAAGTGAAGGTGACGACTCTTACCTAGATAAACGCTTACCTAGTAAATTGTTGCATAAGATACATTTTGATTTACTACAATCTTACCCGATAAAATAAAATTATAGTGTTGACTCTTAACGATAGGTGCTTACCGGGTAAACATTTAGGTAAACGGCCCCTAAGATTTTTTCGTTCAAACTTCTTCTCGTTATCACAATTTTATCACTACATCGAAGACTTTTTTGTAAATATTTCTTCAACATTTGATACTTTCAACAATCATCTGAAATTATCTTGAACTTTCACTTACTTTCTTTCATCTTCAAACATTCAACTTCACTTTCATCAAATTTGAATTTTCTCCCCCTCCCTTTATAATTTGTAATACCTCTTTAGCACAACATTTTTGAAGTTTCTTGGACGTTCCTCGATCGTTTTCCGGCCGTTCCTCAACCGGTTTTCTCAAAAATTAGGGGTGTTACAACATAGTGGTGTGGAGGGATAGTAGGTGGCATTTGAACTAGGCCTGGAATAGGTCTTTTAGAGGTAGATTTTTAAGGAAAGATTGCAAGTTCGATTCAAAACGTTAGTCTCATCAGAAATGATGTCATACCCTTTGCAAGACCATTCCATTGAAATGTATGTAACGACAGATGATAAATAACTTCAAAAACAAATAATACATATACGATGATGCATACAGATCAGAACGAAACCGAAAGAGAAAGAGAGAAAGATGAATCGGACTCTTGAACTTTTCTATTTCTTTGATACACAAAAACTCGAAAACACATGGTAAACGCTACTTGAAACATTAGATAACTTGCACAAGTAAAACAAGAGTTTGAGATGACTTCCATATGTTGAATAAATTTTGGTGGGATATGCTTCTACTCACTGCTTTTTGTCGTGTACAGCATGCGACGGTTCTCCGCCGTTGCTGCTCCTCGATGGCACCACTTTTGCAGGGGTGGAACGTTCCGACTGAGAGAATTGAATCAAGATCTGCATTAAGATGGTAACAACCGCCAGACAAACTGCTGTGATCGTTAGACCCTTCCACGAAGAGAAAAGGTTAGACCACCGGAAGAATTTGAAGGTCCCAAAAACAAGCAGGCATGCCCAAGAAGTGACCACCTGTAAATATGCAAACATGTGTAAGATTTGTTGTTCTACCCAAATAGATGAGAAGAACTGTTCTTTGTAACTGTGGGCGTTTGGGCCAGTTTGTCCACAACTAGGTTGATACCATCGGGTCCTTGAGTTATCAACCAGATAAACCTGCAGTGGTTCTAAGGGGACTTGAACTAGTGACTGATGGGAGCAAACCCAAGCCCTGATACAATTAAGCTACCACCAAAAGTTATGGGAGAACTGTTTTTTTTTATAATTTTGGGTGTTCAGGCCGGCTTGCGCACAACTCGACTAATCCCACAGGGCCCTAAGGCCCCAGATGGTTTGTAGGATTGAATAGGATTTAGAGGGATTTGGAATTTAATTTTTCCAGTCTCATATTTGGTTTGAAGGATTGTTTGGATTTGAAATCCCACAAATATGGGATTTAGAAATCCCCATGGGGTTTGTTGGTATTTCGTGAGATTTCAAACCAAACACACCAAAGATCTCAAATCCTTCCAAATCCAACTCCCTCCAATTTCAAATCCTTCCACGAAATCCAAATCTCTAAAAATCATTCCATCAAACCAAATGCTCCCTGAAGGTTTAATAGTCGGGCAAACCTCAAGTGGCCCTAAGGGGACTCGAGCTGGTGACGTATGGGAGGAAACCCAAGGCCTCACCAATTCAGCTATCCGCAAGGGGTTATCTGGAGAACTGTTTGACATGTTTTTATGTTAAAATAGTATTCTTACCACGAGAGACTTTAGAGGTCGTCCAATGTCATGAAGATTTGAATCAGGAAAGCTGTCTTCTGCTTTATGCTTGTCTAATAAATCATCCTGTTGAGAAGCAAACAAAATCATAAACTGATACAACATACGGCATATATAATTCTATGGACTGTTCGACCATCAATCGAATATGTTGAATGCTTTCTAATATCGATGAAAAGGGAGAATCTGTGGGCTAAAGCTAATAGCATCAAGTCTCGCATGCTTTACCGATAGCTTCTCTCTTGGCTAGCTTATTTTCACATGGTCTTATTTGCAAGTTGTACTATGTTTGGCATATCCGATAAACTAGTCATGTTTGGTAAAAACTAGTTGATAAACTAGATGACAATGTACAATGACTTAAAAAGATATGTCAAAAAATTAAATTGGAAAAATATAAGGGGCATAATTGGGAAAAAAAAGTGAAAAAATCCCGTGAAGCTTTATTGAAACACTACTTCAAGCAGCTTTTCAAAAAGCTAGCTTATAGCTAACCTTTGAGGCTTTTTAATAAGCTCAAAAAATAAGCTAGCTTATGGTTGCCAATAGCACGTTAGTGCCTCGGAAGTGCTCAATCAGCCTGAAATACTTGAGAAAGGGTGGTTGCCAATAGTATGGTAGCGCCTCTGAAAGGTTTGTAGAGCTTAGTTTACGAAGGACTGAAGGAGGTTTTGGTTATTACTCAGAAAGCTTCTTGCATTCTAGGATGGTTTACCAATGAGGGATGCACCATCTTTTGATATGGGGTCTGCATCTCCATGGAACATTCTAGAAACAAAAACTCTCTAGGCCTAAGAACTTTCTAGATACAAGATGTTTCTAAATTCTAGGTTCTACTACAAATGTACCTAAGATTCTATCTAATATCAGGAGTTCCCTAGAGAATCCTACAGCATATAAGACGACCCAACCTCCGTGAATTCTTTCAAAGCTATTGCAAAACAAGATTTCTTGTCCTTGATACCAACAACCTCCATGAATTACATCAAAGCATCTACCATCTTTTAATACATGACCATTAAGATTTCCTTTTGTAATGTCTCTCACTAACAGGTATCCCCAAAAAGCTCGTATTGTGACAGAATCATTGTGATCTATCTGAGGGGCATGTACACTTATGGCATTCATAACCACCTTTGATTAGAATTGCTGAATACATTCCCTTGGTCTTTCAAACAGACAAGAATAACAGAATTAGAACGAAAACTATAAAACAGTAATAATAAACGAATGCAGAAGGTTGCACCTTGGCAACAAATATATCTTTACACCATTGTGCAACAGCTTCATCTGTTTCTGGCAAATCTTTCATCAAATAGCGCTTAACTTTCACGTGAACCTGCAAGAAAAGAATTCCTTTATTCATAATAAATTTTTCAGTTTCATATGCATATGTCTCTAAACACTGAGAAGAACAACACCAAGAAGAAAAGTAGAATAGTTTACAAGTGGCCACCTCATCCGAGAGAAAACATAAATGTGCAAGAAAGATCAGAGACAGCTCAAATAGTTGCAGCTAAAATCAACATACCTTTAAATCCCAAACAAGTTGTACATAGATTTTACCCATAAAAGATTGTGGAGTTTCCAGAAGAACGTAAGGGGCAACAGGAATGGATAAATAATGAGAGGAAAGAGAAAAATAAAGCAATCTTCGGTATCTGACATTACTAGAAAACAGATAATAAAGTAGCAACGAAGTCACCAGTCCACTCTCAAATGGGCCCCTTAGTCTTGACTTGTTTTTTTTGGTACGTGGGTGTCCGGCCAGCTGGCGCGCACCTCGACAATTCCCATGGGGCCCGGAGTCCTTGACAGAAAAACCCCTAGTGGCCCTGAGGAAACTCGAACTGGCTTCTATCATTTTAATCAAAACTCAAAGGTCAAGATGGCTCACCACAGAAGGTTGCCCCTTAAACAGCCTCAGCATTGTTGGTGGAGTCGAATCTCTCGGAATAGCAACAGTCATATCATAGATGGCTGGAACAAATGATCGCATGTGACTTACTGATGTAACAAAACCCTGACAGCATAAAAAACAATAAATAAATTACTCTGAAGTACATAAAGTAACAGCTAAATACATAAACAATATGAACACATTTCAAAACCGCAGCCTACAACTAATTTAGTAACTAGAATAGTAAGCAGAGTTGTTGACTTTCTTCAACATGTAATCCAATGTATCAAGCAGGATCCTGGAATCACCGTTTAGCAGATTGACTGAAACTTGTTATCTCCATAACCTATTAAAGCTTTCTCGTCTTCATATACTTTCCAACAGATATTAGTAAAACAATTGTCCAAGAAACAAATAGCCTTTTATCCCAAACTAGTTGGTAGGCTAATACTCCCTAGCAAATTGGATGTTGCAATCCCATGATAAGTTAAAAGTGTTCAAATGAAACAAGATATTGATCTATTATACCCCCGCATGAACACTAAAAACAAACAGGCAGAGACCCAGATATCAAAGGAAGTAAATTAACAACACAGAATAGAATCAGTAGTTTACATTCGGTGGTAGATGCAAGGGAGTCTAACCTTTGTTCGTGGAATCAGCACATTTCTGGGAACAGGCAACCCATTCGAAGATGCATATTCTTGAGCTGCCAAAAGCTTTGCTTGAGTAAATCGAGTCCCCTCCACGAAAAGAGCCAACCAAAAGGGTTGAGGATAGTCCTTTAGGCGTTGAAGACCGAACTGCAAAATACAGGCCACAAAGTTAAGCTTGTCCAAGAAAAAAAAGAACCTCATTTCACCAAGAAAATATGTTTTAGATAAGAGAGAAAGAGGGTTGAACATAAAATCGTGAGCATCATGAATACAAGTAGACTACAACTAATGGAATAATACCTTTAGAGTATTTTCATCCTTAGCCCAGCTTCTCTCAAGAAAAAGATACTCAGAAAACCACATTGACCAGCCTATGACCTGCATATATTGAACCGTTTAATTCTTGCAAGTTGTGACATCAATTTGAGAAGGGAAAAAACTTGTGCTATAATTACAAGTCTAGAATGGAAGGAAAAAAGACCATAATAATCAATAAATAATGCATAATTGACAAACTACAAACTTTTAAATTTGTTAACATTTTGCATTAAACATTCATTAATCTAAACAAAAGATCATTAGCATAGTTGGTGGTCACTCGAGAGCTGAATAATGTTAACAATGTCCCATATTTTAAGCATACAAGATCAATTCAGTTAACGAAGTACTGCTTGATATCGCTTTCTCTTTTGACCGTGTCTTCTAGTTACGCTCCATAAAGTGGTGTCTCAAAAATCTGGCTACACAAAGAACATGCATACTGAGAAAAAATCCAAGGTTCACATGCTGACTTTCTGTTTTACCATCTTTTCTGTTTACACTTTGAAAAGTGGCAACCCCAAGAATCAGGCTCCAGAAAAGACATGCATATATAATTATAGAAACAGAAAATTGAGGGTTCAAGCCTCTCACTGGAGTAACTAGACAACAATCTTAATGATACTTTATGCACAATTAAAAGAATTAATTTCACACAATTTGCAAAGGCAGTTATTCGATATTTACTCTGAAATTCTTCAAGCACATTGTCGTATTCAATAATCTTAGCACCAACATCGAATAACTCCAGCTAATGCTACATAACACTCCTATAGTTCAGAAGATGTTCAGATTCCATTGCAAACCTCCGGATAAGCAATATAAACAAATCTAAGTCTTTGAGGTTCATAATCCAAGTCAATGAACCAAGTGTAACATGCTTCACATATTTATAACAATATGACTTCCAAATATACCAATTTCAATTTAGACAGTTCATTATCTATAACTCCCTCTGCCCACTTTAAATATTCCCTTTTTGACTTTTGACGGTCGAATAACTGTAAATTTCACATGAACTTGTCACATCCCTATCACAGAATTCTCTAATTCCAGTAGTTTTTGCTCGGTTTAATGCAGCATTTATCAATTTTGTACAAAATTAAATATATTCAAATCAGTTTTGAAGTTGAGAGTAGTTTCCCTTATTCACAATTTGAAGGCACTAAAGTGAAATAGGGGGAATATATTACGAGAATTAAATAAGCACACATATATAGCATTAATTTCAAAGCTTAAGTTGCATATTGTAACATGGCAATTGCTAAATACTTACAGGAAGGAATTTTGACGATTTCTTCATAACAGCTAATGTGCTACCAAGGCACCCTGATCGCTGTCACAGAACAATCCAATGAGAATTAGGGTGCAACATTTGCAGAGATGGCAGTGATAACCATAATAAAAAGGTTAGATGAATAAAACTCTGTTGCAAAAGCAATTGTGCATTAAAATTTCTAAAACACAACGATCTCATGCTTTTCAAAGTGTAGGAAGGCACAAACAGTAGGTTTATTTGATAATCACCTGTGCAAATACCCATCCAATAAGCCAATCAATGTCACTTTTGTGATTAGCTATAACAAGGGCATGTTCCTTACCTGTAAATATAATCAACATAAATGGAAGAAATACATCATTTATCCGGGTCAAAGAACAGAAAATTCTATCAGTACATTCCTCTTACCCATCATTTCTAACGTCTCAGGATCTGTGTATAATTGGACCTGCACCACGTTGTGTTAAAAAACTAGACTATAACAAATCAAAATATATTGGATCCACTAACGTGTACCAAATAGAAGAGAATATAGTTTCAAGATCAGAAAAATATGAATAAGATAAAAAGTAGAATATCAATATCTTAACACAGTAAACTCCACAAGTTTCAAATTAGAAAGTGATCAACCGAAGGAAAAAAAACTTAATTTAATAAACACAAAAATGAGTCAAAACAGGTTTGTTTGACATGTTATTATGTGAATTCCATCCATTAGACAAACAAAACCTGCCATTAAAATCAAAGCTAATAAAAGAATGAGGTGTACAACAAATCTTCACATGCTCGGAAAAACATAAAGACAGATTTCAGCACTAACATGCCTCTGAAGAAACTATGCATATGCAAGATGATCTTTTGTCTTTATTGGCAAGTACACAGAACATGAGGACATTGAAAACACTCCTTAGAAAAACAAAAAATTGAACTTCCATAGAAACATTAAATGCATAGCGAATAATCAAACCAAACTGACCAAGTATATCCCACACGACATACTAAATTCATTTTTTACATATACCAAATGTATACAAATCAACTTTTCAGCCCAATAAAAGGGATAGTAAGACAACACAAATTACTAGTTAATAAAACAATACCAAAGGCCTGCAATCGAGTTGCAGGTACAGATGCTACGGAATAATTGTATGAGAATCTTCATTGTTTGTCTGCACTAAAGTAAATGAAAGGCCCTTAGAAACAAAGAACCCATTTTTGTTGTTTTATGACCACTTAAGCCCATTTAAGCAGGAGAGAGCACACATACAAAATGCACACGATATCGGACCCTTAAAGCAAATGGTAGGCTTAGACAACAAACAAGTGCATAGAACATAAACCAAATCATCAATTACCATTGCCAAACCCATATGCGAATCGGATCTACTAGTATTTGATTAACATCAAATTATTGAATAACAAACAGCCTTGAAAACATGTATGGCGAAAACTGAAAAAAGAGAAAGAATTGAACAACATAAAGCCCCAAGTAACCCTATTTTCATCTCAGTAGGATATATAAACGCTTGTACAAGCATAATTGAGTGACTAAAAAATCATTGAACCTTACTAAATCATCACCTTAACTCCTGCCCACCAATCAACTATCCACACAAGTTCAAGCCACAACAGCTCCGCCACCATCCTGTTAATCCTTCTGTATGTATTCTTCGAAAACGGCCGTACAATCACGTAAAATATCGCCTAAAAGCCCACAACAACAAATAAACATAACGAAAATCAACATTCGTATTCAGCCTCAAATAATAGAAACCATCACGACGAAATATATAATGTACAAAACCCGATAGAGATGACAGAAAATTTTCTATATAAACATTGTCGCGATCCCAGTGGTTAATAGTTCTAAAATTGAGAAAATCCCTAAAATTCACAAAGAATGATCCCGATACAATATACACATACAAACACAAATCAGTAGGGGAAAAATCACCTGAATGAGATTGACGATTAGACCAGAGACAAAGAAGAGGACACCGAGAGGGACGATAACAGCTGCTGCTGCAATCGCCATGGCCGACGAGCACCGTAACAGAAACTATGTGAATATGCGCTAGTGGGTGTATCGGATAAAGATACAGAGAGGTTTCGGAGATTTTAATGGAGGACGGAGAGAGTGATGGATATCGAAGGAAAAGAGCTGCAATTTTGAATAAGCAAAGATTACTGGTGGCAATTTGTATATTTCTATTAACACCCCTTTAAGTTTCAGAGAAGTTGCATATCAGTACCTCCAAATGTTTTACAAGAATATATACGTCATTTGATAACCTTTATTACTTTTTTTTTTAATGATGTAGTAAAAAAATATTTAACATCAGGGTTAAAACATATTAGATAATACTAAAGTACTCGTGCAATATAGTAAGACACATTTTGATTTTAATGTTTCATTTTATTCTGTCTCCGTCGATGTTATAATATGATTTTATGTGGTATCGAAAAAACAATAATAGTTTTAAATTTGAAGGTATCATAAAATTTTGAAAAAAAAAATACATCGATTTTAGTATCAAATTAAATATTCAAAAGTTATTGTTTTTTGTGTAATTTCTTTAATTCTATTTTTTATTATAATTTAATTTAGATTTGATAATAAAATCATTTATTTTTTGTTTAATAATATAATTCTTTTATAATAACTAGAAGCGTACTCGTACAATGCAACGAGATACATCATGATTTTAATATTTCCTTTTATTCCTTATCTCAGTCGATGTTATAATATGACTTTATGTGATTTTGAGAAAGCGATGATGTTTTTATTTTTGAATAAAATATATGTTTGAAGATATCACAAAAATTTGACAAAAATATATCGATATTAGTA